AGACAGGCCCCGTCCTCCTGTGTCCATCCATTACTTACAGAGAACATCTGCTCCTGCCTCCCCCATCTCCCCACTCCCCAGCCCTTTCAAGACTTAGTCATAAGTCACCTTCTTCCTGATCAACCAGTGGGAAATAAGCATCCCCTCTTCCAAGTTCCCCTGCCTTTTATGACATGAGAGGTGGTCCAGGGTGTGGCTTAAGAGCACAGACTCTAGAGCCAGGCTGCCTTGGTTCAAACAACTGCTAGCTGTGTGACCTTGGGCAAATTACTTAGCTTCTCTTCTCTGTGCTTCAGTTGCTTCATCTGTAAAATGGGGATTATAATAGTACCCACCTTGTAGAATTTTGAGAATTAAAGGGGCAAACATAATGGAAAGCGCTCAGAACATGAACAGTGTTAATGTATGAAAAATGTTGCATAACTGTTAGCTTTTGCCTTACAATATAAACGTATACACAAGCCTATGGGTGTTACCTGTTGTCATGTAGTTTGTTGAGAATAGGGTCTGTGTTTTGTTCATGTTTGTAGCTTGGACATTAACAGACCCATTTCGTAGTGTACACTGACAATATACTGTGAACAAGGTACTGTACTTGCCCATAGTATAAGCCTAGAGGACATTATTAAATTAATCTGTTGATTTAATATTTATTGCAAAAATAAGATTGTGATCTTTAACTTTTGCCCATATCTTTTCAGTAACCTTTGGAGCAGAATATAAAATAATTTGTTATTCTCTCTTCTTCTCTGTCCTTGCAGTAGTTACACATTAAATCAGTAGGCAGAATGTCAGTGTATTTTGTGATTTTGAACTTGCCCTTTCTTATTAGACTAATTAGCCAAATACTCAAAATAAGTATATTCCTTTGAATTTCTGAACCACTGAATAAACTTTTACTACCCAGTTTTTCCCCTCCTTTCTCCCCGAAGAAGACTAATCCAAGGCTGTACTTAACAGTCTCTATTAATCGAATCTAATGTTTAAATAGAAGTTTGTAATAAAATTATTCCTATGTACACTGTAAAGGAAATAAGATTAAATTTTGATAAATGTATGTATGCACATTGTATGCATGTATAAAATGCAGATGAGAATATATTTTTGGAATTATTTGCCAGATAGTTAATCTTTTCAAAATAGTAATAATTTTGTTACTGTGATATTTGAGGCCATGCCTTCAGCAAACATTCATTACTTTTGATAAATATGTTTCAAATGCCAATTATTTATCTAGTGCTGTTCTTACAATATCACAGAAAAACCAGTTTGAGCCCTTCTGCAGTTGCTTTGTCTTCTCATCTGTAATGTCCTAAACGGCACATGCCATCCTTGGCCCCGCCCCATAGCATCTTCCCTTCCAAGCGTGTGCCTTTTCTGTGTTCCCATCTTGATGTGCAGTCATGTAAACCAGAAACTTGGGGCCCAGCCTGGATGTCCCCTCACTTGGCTTCACACCCAGTCGGGCCATGGACCTTATTATATGTCTCACGTCCATTCCCCTCCACTCCCCACTGACAACGGCCCTGGCCCAGGCTCTCGTCATCTCTTCCTGGACTCTGGCAGTGCTGTCTGCCCTGCTGTGGAGGCCCTCTGGGGCCTGCGCTCGTCTGCCTTCAGGCCGCCCACCACAGAGGAGACTGCAGAGTGCAGGTTCCTCGGTTTAAAATCCCCCAGTGGTTGCCCCCATTGCCTACACCAGTGGTCCCACCTTTTGTACTGCGAGCACCTCTTTACTTGATTAAAAAAAAGCCAAACCAAACCTACTGCTGTTGAGTCGATGCCAACTGATAGCGACCCTATAGGGCAGAGTAGAACTGCCCCATAGGGTTTCCAAGGAGCTGCTGGTGGATTCAAACTGCTGACCCTTTTGTTAGCAGCCGTAGCTCTTTAACCACTGCGTTGATGTGGTTGTATTTTTGGGGAACCTATTCATATTGCAGAAACAGCTATTGTAAATTCAGTAACAGTTTTAAATAAATGTGAACTTATTCATCATAATACCGTCTACGTTCATTTGAAAACTAGTACACACGTATGTTAGAGTGTGGGTGACGTGGCGCAGGGTCCCCCGAGGTCCAGAGCCCGGATGCTCGGTTTGCATGGGACAGCCTGCTTTACTCCCGTTTCCCTTTCCTTCTCGAGTGTGTCCTGGTGTGGACGATAAAACGTGTGGTCTCACTGAATTGTACACATGAAGATTGTTGAAATGGCATATGTTTTGTTACCTATGTATTTACCACAATAAAAAAAGAAAGAAAAGTGTATGTAACATGAGACTAAGTTATGAAGCATAAAAATAAACATCCATGAACCCACAAAAAACCCCACAGACACACATACACACACACGAAAACATGTGGTCATCCTAACCAGGACCCATTAGGATGGGAATTTGCAGCTGGTATTCTCCCACTACAAGGATCCTGGGTGGCTCAGTGGTTAAGTGCTTGACTGCTAACCAAAAGATCAGCAGTTCAAACCCACCATTCGCTCCGCAGGAGAAAGTTGTGGCAGTCTGCTTCCTTAAGGAGTACAGCCTAGGAAACCCTATGGGGCAGTTCTACTCTGTCCTGTGCAAGGTCACTATGGGTCAGAACTGACTCGATGGCTGTGGGTTTGGTTTGGGTATTCCTCCACAGTCTTGTGTGTGGACTGCCTGCTGCCTCCCGTGCACAAACTGAACACCCCCTGGTTGGGGCCCACTGTCCACTAATGCCACACTGTCGTTGCCCGTGCTTCCCTGTACTCCCTGTCACTCTCCCCTGCAGTACAGTCCGTACCCTCCCTCGGGATCGGAGGGAGCCTTATGCAGCCTTGAGCCCCCAGCTCCGGCACAGTGCTGACATGGGAGATTTAGTACGTGAGTGAGGACGCGAAGGAAGATCGAGTAAGTAAAACATGTGAGGCCGAGAGTAGCGTGTGGCACGTACTACATGCTCACCTAATGCTAGCACACCTACTACGTGCTGGACACGTTTGGGGGAAACAGATGAACAAGACAGAGTCTCAGCTTCCGTGAAGCTTGCATTCTAGCGGGAAGAAATGGACATAACAGTGCCGTCTAGTTGATTCCGACCTGTAGCAACCCTATGGGACAAAGTAGACCTGCTGCATAGGGTTTCCAAGGAGCGGCTGGTGGATTTGAACTGCCCGCCTTTTTGGTTAGCAGAATATTTCAGGGAATAATAAGTGCTATAAAGAGAAGGACAGCAGGTATGGAGTAGACAGTACTAGAGCAGTGTCTTAGTCGTCTAGTGCTGCCATAACAGAAACACCACAAGTGGATGGTTTTAACGAAGAGAAGTTTATTTCCTCACAGTCAAAGTAGGCTAGAAGTCCAAATTCAGGGCATCAGCTCCAGGGGAAGGCTTTTTCCTCTCTGTTGGCCTTCTTCTCTTTGGTGTTCCCCCGGACTAGGAGCTTCTGTGCGCAGGGACCCCGGTCCAAAGGATGCGCTCTGCTCCCGGCACTGCATTCTTAATGGTATGAGGTCCCCCTGTCTCTCTGCTCACTTCTGTCTTTTATATCTCAAGACATTGCCTCAGGATACAATCCAGTCTTGTAGACTGAGGCCACCCATCCTCTCTCATTGACATCATAGAGGCAGGATTTACAACATATAGGAAAACCACACAATACCAGAAATCATGGCCCGGCCAAATTGATACCCACATTTTTGGGGGGACATAATTCAAACCATGACAAGCAGTCATTTGGTGTGGAGAGTCCCAGCCCCACGTCACAGAGCACAGTGTAGAAGGGTGCTTTGGCGCTGAGAGTCAGGAGCCTAACAACCAGCACCTGTGGCCGTCAAGACGCTTCTGACTCATAGCGACCCTATAGGATGGATAGAACTGCCCCTGGATTTCCAAGGAGCGGCCAGTGGAGTTGAACTGCCGACCTTTTGGTTAGCAGCCATAGCTCTTAATCACTGCGCCACCACGGCTCCTGGTGCTGGGGGGTGGGCACAGGGCAAGGTCATGAAGCCAGCCCTGATAAGGTCACTGAGCAGAGCAGAAGGAAAGGAAAGAGCTGACATCTGCAGGGCGCTCCAGTCAGAGACAGGAACATGCAAGGCAAACTGGGGGGACAGCATGGAGGCTGGTGGGGCTGGAGTGAAGGAGGGAGTGGGTGGCAGGAAGTGAGGTCACAGGTGGGGGTGGCATCAGGACTTTGGATTTCATTCTGAGTGAGAGTGGGTGACTGGCTAGGCTGGCAGGCAGCAAGTGGAGTGATTACAATCTGTGTTATCCAGAGTCCCTCCTAACTTGATATTTTGTGATTCTAAATTTCAGTTGTAAAGTCCAGAATGTTTAATTAGGCTAAATAGCATCACTGTTGATAATAATGCTGCCCCTCCCTTGCGATGATAAGCGAGGTAATAGACGATCATATTTTGAGCTTCAGGATGCTGCGTTACTGAAAGTGAGCACCCTTTCTAGCTCGGTGACTTAATATCAGGAGACATGAAATTTGTTTCTAAAAGCTCTCTCATTATGAGTGTTGGAGACTGCCTGTCAGCATGGGAAAATGGCGGCTAGAAACGGCTCCCCACATGGAGCTCCAAGCTCTGTCTCCGTGTCTTCTCCATGCGGCACCAGGGCTGACTTCTTCTAATGAAAACCTAGTGCTGTCATTGTGTTGTGTGAAACCCCTGGTAGCTGCCCCATTGTTCTCAGAATCAGAGCCTGCCTTCAGCTGCAGAAGGCTCTGCCTGTTCTGGTCCCTGACGTCTCTCCATCCTCACCTCACTGGATGGCCTGCTTCCGTGTGATCTGTGCAGCCAGCTTTTCTACCTCACAGCCTTCATATGCCCTCGGTCCACCATCCAGATTGTTCTGCACCTCTTAGCCTGGCCAGCTCCTCCTCATCCTTCAGTCTCAGCTTAAATGTCACCTCATCATGGAAGCATTTTCCTCCCCTCATACCCCACCGAGACTACACGATGTTGTCATTTACTGCCGCCCTTTATCTTTCTCTCTCTCCCTTTTTTTTAGCCATATCATGTCTGAATATGGGAGGATGACAGACACAGAACGAGATCAGATAGATCAGGATGCTCAGATATTCATGAGGACCTGTTCGGAAGCCATCCAGCAACTGAGAGCAGAAGGTATGGTGCTCTGGAAGATGCAGACAGACAACCCAGACTATGTTAAGTAGTTAGACAGGATTCAGACGTGCAGCCAGTTAAAATTTCCTCTTAGGTGTTATTTAGATTTAGGTTTTAAAACGTTAAAGTCTTGTCTTTCTTGATCAGTGTTTTAGCCTAAGCTGTTAAACGGAATGAAAAGGATATACGTGTGTATGTATGTACATATGTATATACAAAACGAAAGAGAGGCAGATGGCAAGGACCTCTCCAAACAGAGGCAGAAATGTATTCAGGGCGCAGGGCCAGCTTAGACAAATGGTGTGTGTGCACACATGTGCGTTCCTTTGTGCTGTGTGGCGTTTAGTAGAGCTCTTGTTGATAGCCTGTGGATGAGGATGACAGAGGGTAGTCTGAACTCTGCTTTTAGTCTTAAAGTAACTTGAGTGTCAAGCCCTCGTGGTTAGGAGGAAGACTCTGGAGCCGGAGCTGCTTGGGCTACACCCCAGCTCTGCCACACAATGGCTGTCCGGTAGGGTTGCTACCGGGTAACTATGAGTCAGAATCAGCTTGACGGCAACCGGTTTTTTGGGTATTTTTTCCATAATTGTTACCGAGGCACTCTGAGGTGGGTTCCCAGGTCATGTATCTTCCTTGATTCCTTTTCAATTTGCTTAGACAGATATTGTTATTGCTGGGTGCTGTCAAGTCGATTTTCAACTCATAGCAACCCCATGTGACAGAGTAGAACTGCCCCACAGGGTTTCCTAGGCTGTAATCTTTATGGGAGCAGATTGCCAGGTCTTTCTCCCACAGAGCTGCTGGGCAGGTTTGAACCACCAACCTTTCGGTTAGCAGCCGAGTGCTTGACCGTTGTACCACCAGGGCTCGTTAGGCAGATATAATCCATTGCTGTCAAGTCCATTCTAACTCATAGCGACCCTACAGGACAGAGTAAAACTGCCACATAGGGTTTCTAAGAAGCGGCTGCTGGATTTGAACTGCTGACCTTTTGGTTAGCAGCCGAGCTCTTAACCACTGCACCACCAGGGCTCCACTAATTAAAGAAAACTTGGAGAATACAGAAAAGCAGAAGGAAGCACATTAAACAACAGTTCAGACTGCCCGAAGCTGTTGTGCTGACGACACAGACTTTTGGCTGTGATGCTTCCGTTAGAACCCTGATGGACGGCTTTGAGAGCCTGATGAGTGCTGTAGACATTCTTGCCAGAAAAGCAGACATGTGCACAGTTGTTGATGGAGCCCTGGAGCCCCCACACGAATCTCAGGTCAAGTAGCCTATAGTAAAAACCTAAATCCTGCCCCCTTCCTTTACGTGCGTATACAGTCACTGTGACACATAGAAAATACACATGAACGTTAATAAATCTAGTAAGTAAGCACTAACCCATGTGGCCTTGGGCTAGCTACTTATCGATTCCAAACCTTCATATGTAAAACAGGCATAATTATAATTGCCTTTGGATTGTTTGGATTATTAGCAGCAATAAGTATCAGCAGAGTGCCTGCAGGTAGCAGGCTTGTAATAAATGGTAGCTGTCTTACCAAAATAAGGGCTGTGGCTTTAAGAACGTCTGGTAATTCACAGGACAGAGATACCTGTCTTAGTCATCTAGTGCTGCTATAACAGAAGTACCACAAGTGGATGGCTTTAACAAAGAGAAGTTTCTTCTCTCACAGTCCAGTAGGCTACAAGTCCAAATTCAGGGCGTCAGCTCCGGGGGAACGCTTTGTCTGTCAGCTCTGGGGGAAGGTCCTTGTCATCAATCTTCCCTTGGTCTGGGAGCTTCTCTGCACGGGAACCTCAGGTCCAAAGGACGCGCTCTGCTCCCGGCACTGCTTTCTTGGCGATATGAGATTCCCATGTGTCTCTGCTCGCTTCTCTCTTTTATATCTCAAAAGAGACTGGCTTAAGACACTCCAATCTTGTAGACCTCGTCAGTATAACTGCCGCTAATCCATCTTATTAGATCATAGTGATAGAGTTTACAATACATAAGGAAGTCACATCAGATTACAAAATGGTAGACAATCATACAATTGTGGGAATCATGACCCAGCCAAGTTTACAGATGTTTCTGGGGGACACAGTTCAATCCATGACAGTACCCTTGTGGCTAGGAGGAGCAAAGAAGATGTACTGGAGGAGGTTTGACTCGGTGTCGCAGGCCCCTCCAAGTGTGAGTGGTAAGGTGAAGAACAGCACGCGCTCAGGCAGGAGGCGTGTGTGATCTGAGTTTGATCCAGGTGCGTTATATGAAGGTTGATTTCAGCATCAGACACTTTGATACCAACAGGGTCAGCACTCCAAAACTGATACAATAAACCGTAAATTATTTTTCTGTTGGTTTCCTGCAGGTTGAATCTTATAGTCTGGTGAAGCCTAATAAATCTTACTCTTTTAAAAATGTAATGTCACTTGACACAAGACTTGTTTTATAGCTGTATTTTTAAAAATACTTTAAATAAAGCAACTTTTCCGAGGAAGCGGATGAATTGTGCTGTAATATAACTGAACACAAAGGCCTGAATGTTGTCCTTTCTTGTTACAGCCCACAAGGAAATACATTCCCAGCAAGTAAAGGAGCACAGGAGTGCCGTCCTGGATTTCATTGAAGACTACTTGAAAAGTATTTCCTTTTCTCTTAAAGGGCAAATACGGCATCCCGCAATGGATGTGATGCAAAATCTTGCTTTGCTTGCTGAGAGCTGTAGTATCTTACTATGTTAAACGATAAGCTTTGCCTGAGAAAGGGTTTTAAATGGTGTCTGTTCTGATATTTTCCCCTGCAACAGGAGTGTGTAAACTTTACTCAGAACAGAGAGCCATCCGGGTGAAACGTGTGGTGGATAAGAAAAGGCTGTAAGTATTGTCTCTTGGTGATCCTTAACTATTAACAGCAGCTGAGATTGCTGGCGCACTTACGCTGTGCAGTGTACTGGGCTTGAATATCTTCACAATTGTTGTAGCTCACGCTTCCTGAGCACCTACTGTGTGCCAGGCACTGTGCTAGACACTCTAGCCCCACGAGGCAGGTACCGTTCTTCTCTTCCTTTTACAGATGAGGAAGCTGGGGCTCAGGGAAGTTAAATGACTTTTCCAAGGTCCCACAGCCAGCAGATAGCAGAGCTGGGGTTTGAACCCTGGCTGTTGGTCCAGAATTTATGCTGTCGCCCGTTTTGCCTTCTTAATAACCCTGTGAGGCTGGTACACTTTTAGCCATGTCACCTGGGGCTCTCTGACCCCCACATCCCTCCTCATTGTCTCTGAAAGTTTCCCTGAGGGAGGAGCTAGAGCACCGCAGCCACTGTTCCCCCCGTGAGACCTCCCTCAGGTTGTCCCCGGTGTCCCCTCCCTCATCACAGAGTGCTCACTCCATGCCAGTGCTGTGGGTACGCACCCCCTCTAGTCCCCAGCGCCCATTTAGGGCGGGTGCAATTATTAGCTCCCTCTGCAGATAAGGACACTGAAGGGCCAGCAGGTTGAATGACTTGCCCAAGGTCACATAGGCAGGAAGTGACAGAGCCAGGCTTCAATCAGGCCGGCAAGCACGGAGCTCACTCCAGCAGTTCCCAAGGCACCTATCTGTTCTCCTGCCTGTCCCCTCTTCCTGCAGCTCCTGAGCACAGGACCGTGTCCTCACATCGCAGCTTCCCTTGCAGCTGCTCAGTTAGTCCTTGAGATTGAACGAGCAAGCGAATGAGTGCTGGGCCCAGGCTTCAGATCGCGACCGTTTCTAAACTAGCTTTGGAAACACTATAGCATGTTTTTCAGAAGATAACGTTATGTAACTGTTTGGGGACCAATTTTCTTAATTCCTGTTGTGTTAAGGGTGCCCAAGACCACCTTGACGTCAGCTGATTCTCTAGAACTCCCAGGACTCAGCAGATAGTCATACTCACGGCTGTGGTTTCTTACAGTGAGAGCACAGAGCAAGACCAGCACAGGGAAGAGGCGCGTGGGGCCGGGTCTGGGGAAGCCAGGTGCGAGCACCCAGAATTCTCTCCCGGTGGAGTCACCCAGGACAGGCTGAACTCCCCCGGCAGCGAGCTGTGACAACACAAGTGAGATTCTCTACCAGGGAAGCTCGTTAGAGACTCAGTGCTCAGGGTTTTCACTGGGGGCTGGTCACGTAGACACCTCCTGCCTGGCACGTAGCAAGATTCCAAACTCCCAGAAGGAGAGCAGCTGTTTGGCATAAACCACGTTGTGTGTGCCAACAGTTTAGGCCAGTGAGCCACTCTAATCCTTTGGGGTGATGGGAAGCCTCCTGAAATCCAAGTTCTCAGATTCCAGCCAAGGGCCAGCAGTGCAAGCAGGCCTTCCTAAAGATAGTGGTCTCAGACCTGCTATGTTTGCTCTTTTCTGCACACTTAGGAAACAGATTTTAAATTGTAAATGCCAACAAGTAGAAGCATTTGTGGCCAGTAGTAAGCGGATCAAGTCAAGTTATCTGTCAGCAAATGCTGTTATGCTGTTAGGTTCCATTGAGTCCGTTCTGACTCATAGCGACCCTATGTACAACAGAATGAAACACTGCCCGGTCCTGCCCCATCCTCACAATCATTATGCTTGAGCTCATTGTTGCAGCCACTGTGTCAGTCCATCTTGTTGAGGGTCTTCCTCTTTTTCACTGACCCTCTGCTCTAGCAAGCGTGATGTCCTTCTCCAGGGACTGGTCCCTCCTGATAACATGTCCCAAGTATGTGAGATGAAGTCTTGCCATCCTCACTTCTAATGAGCATTCTGACTGTCCTTCTTCCAAGACAGATTTGTTTGTTCTTCTGGCAGTCCATGGTATATTCAGTATTCTTCACCAACACCATAATTCAAAGACATCGATTCTTCTTCCGGCTTCCTTATTCATTGTCCAGCCTTCGCATGCATATGAGGCAATTGAAAACACCATGGCTTGGGTCAGGCACACCTTAGTCCTTAAAGTGACATCTTTGCTTTTTAATGCTTTAAAGAGATCTTTTGCAGCAGATTTGCCCAGTGCAATGTGTCTTTTGATTTCTTGACTGCTGCTTCCATGGGTGTTGATTGTGGGTCCAAGTAAAATGAAATCTTTGACAGCTTCAGTGTTTTCTATGTTTATCATGATGTTGCTTACTGATCCAGTTGTGAAGATTTTTGTTTTCTTTATGTTGAGGTGTAATCCATACTGAAGGCTGTGGTTTTTGATGTTCATCAGTAAGTGCTTAAAGTCCTCTTCACTTTCAGCAAGCAAGGTTGTGTCATCTGCCTAACACAGGTTATTAATGAGTCTTTCTCCAATCCTGATGCCCCGTTCTTTTTCATATAGTCCAGCTTCTCGGATTATTTACTCAGCATACAGATTAAGTAAGTATGGTGAAAGGATACAACCCTGACACATATCTTTCCTGAATTTAAATCACGCAGTATCCCCTTGTTCTGTTCAAATGACTGCCTCTTGGTCTGTGTACAGTTTTCTCATGAGCACAATTAAGTGTTCTGCAATTCCTATTCTTCGAAACGTTATCCGTAATTTATTATGATGCACACATTCGAATGCCTTTACATAGTCAATAAAACACAGGTAAACATCTTTCAGGTATTCTCTGCTTTCAGCCAGGATCCATCTGACATCAGCAATGATATCCCTGGTTCCGCATCCTCTTCTGAATCTGGCTTGAATTTCTGACAGTTCCCTGTCAATGTACTGCTGCAACCACATTTGAATGATCTTTAGCAAAATTTTACTTGTCAGCAAATAGCTACTATTTATTGTATAAGGCACTGGAAGGGTTGGCACAGAGAAGCAATAGATAAACTCTCTGCCCTTAGGAGCTTAGAGTTATCCTGGCTGCTACATACACATGAAAAATTAGCCAACTTCCTTAGGACGGAAGTCATAATTGGTGAGGCCCATAGCACAATCAGAGGGGATAGAGTACGATCCAGTGACAGAGAGGAGTGCCCGAGAGCTGAGAGTCTGCAGCCAGCCAGCCTGTGTCTGAGTTCTGGCGTGCCACTTAGCAGCTGTGTGACTTTGGGCAGATTACTTAACTTCTCTGTGCTTTAGCTTTCTTGCCTGTAAAACTAGAAGATTAGTGGTACGTACATGAGGTCACTGTAAGTTGAAATTGACTCAACAGCACCCAACAACAACAGCAACCACACCCTGTAGGGTGGTTGTGAGAACTAAACAAGTTGATATAGGTAAAAGACTTGTGTGCAGTCAGCAAATGCTAACTAGTATTAGCGCAGTGGTTAAGTGCTGGGCTGCTAACTGGAAGGTTGGTGATTCAAACCTACCTACCACCCCACGGGAGAAAGATGTGGCAGTCTGCTTCTGTAAAGATGACAGCCTTGGACACCCTGTGGGGCAGTCCTACTCTGTATAGGGTCACTAGGAGTTGGAATCAGTTTGACGACAGTGAGTAGTAGTATCTATTAAGCCCTTACCATGTGTCAGGCAGTGTGCTAATTTACTTCATTTAATCTTCACAAAAATCCTACTAATAAATATTATTACCCAATTATGTCACAAATGAAGAAACTGGGGCTCAGAGCATTTGGGTTCCTTGCGCCGGGTCACACAGCTGAACTTGGATTTGAACCTCACGGTAGCCGGGGCAGATCTCTCAAACAATGGGATTTGTGTCAGATGTGGAAGGAAAAACAGTATCTGGGTGAGTCGATTGGAGAGGAAGAAATCAGCACAGTCTGGGGAGGAGGGCCAGCAGAGAGTTTGAGGCACAGTGAGAAGACCAGTTGCCAATGCAAGTGAGTGAGGAGGGTGTCGGCCCACCGCACGTGTGATCTACCATCAGGACGGTGCAGTGGCCCTGGGCCTCATGGCCACCGGGGAGAAAGATGCAGATTTCCGCCTCGTCACCCCAGGTGGACCCTGAGACTGGAGACTTTGCAGGGGCCCAGAGGGAAGTAAAAAGAGACTTTCATGACTGTGTCCTTAGTTCCTGGTCCTCAGCAGAGCTTCAACTTGGATGCAAATTAAAGTGAGTCAGATGGGACTTGTTCTAATTTAGACAGTAAAGTACAGCCTCGTCTCCGTCCAACTAGTGGTCCTGGGCCAATCTGAGTGAAAGACCTTGTGGTGAGTTAGCTCTGTGACCCTCCCCAGGGTGGTAACTGTGTGCCGTACAGTGTGGTCCAGCCGTCTCCAGTTCTTTCCTCTTCTTGCCCCAGAAGGCATCTGCCCCAAACATAGTTTATATCACTCTTCTGCTTTCCATGTCTTACAAAGGCTAAACTTCATGGCACACATTCAAGGCCCAAATGATCAGACCGTGCCTTTGTTTCTTAATGGGTCCCTGTGTGGCCCTGCCGTGTCCACAGGGGGCGACTTTTTGTTCTAAAGAGGCCTCGTTCTTTGAGGATCTTGTGCCTTAAGCCTTGCTGGTTTTTCTGCCTAGAATGCCTTTCACAAACACTCATGTTGTCCACCCCATACCCCATTCACCTGGCAAACAAATGCCTACACATCCTTCCAGCCTTAATGAGAACGGTGCCTGCTCAGTAAAGACTCTCCCCGCTCCCACAGACAGTGTTGGCGGCACCTTTCCCTGTACCTTCTCGTGGTCCGGCGTAACACTTACTGTCCCCTCACATAGCTGCTGTTGGCTTTTATGTCCCCTACTGCACCTCAGCCCGAGAGGTAGCACTGTGCCTGTCCTGGTCTGTGGAGCCACTTGCTACAGGCTGTTGAATGAGTGAATGATACGTTTCCTGAGGGTAATTTGACTGTAAGCGGAGTTTAGGGGGTGTTTGTTCATTGTTGAGCTGGATTAGCAGGTTCTTTGTTTTGTATTATTTTGTTGTGACTGGTGATGGTTATTGTTAAAAATCATTCTTATAAAAGTAATTATTTTTCAATT